CTCCCTGTCCCCTGACTTCTCCTCGGGATCCCCCGCCCCTTATCCAACCCCCTGGCCCCGGCCCCCTTACCATGCTGCTCAGAGCAGCATGTCTGGACGCCGCGGCGGTGTGGCTGTGGGGGAGGGGGGTCAGCGGGGAAGGGACCGGGGGGGGGCCGGGCAGGATGGTCCCGTGGGGTGTAGTTTGCCCGCCTCTGTGCTACAGCCTTGGTGAGGGGCGGAACAATGGGCAGCTGCCATCGTTTGTCTGGGAAGGAACAAAGGGCTGCAGCATCCGCGTGAGCGGGTGAAACTCCTCGGGGGGTTAAAGGAGGCCTTAGCCGCTGGCACCCCCCCACCCCCGGGTGTAATCTGCCAAAGCCATCTCCTTGCAATGCAGCAGTAGAGCGATTGTGAGCCTCTGCAGTAGAGCAGGAGTTAGACCTGCTTACACCACACTTCAGTTTGGCCCGACCACTGAAGGAGCTCTAAGCGCTTCCAAAACACTAGTGAATTAAGCCTCGCCGTGCCCCTACGTGGCAGGGGAGTATTGTTATCCCTGGGTCTCAGACGGGGAAACTGAGTCAGAGTGCGGCTACAGGACTTGCTTTGGGACATTCTGTGGTAGCGCGGGGAATAGAAGCCAGATCTCCTGAGCCCTAGCGCTGCGCTTGAGCCACAAGGCCATCCTGTGCAGATCAGCTGACCGGCACAGACCCTGTGTGGTGCAGGGGAATCTCGGCCAGAGCAGCAGTGACCGTCGTGGGTCTGTGCGACCTGTGCAGCTGCACAAGGGCCTGTGCTGCTCGGGCCCCCGCTGCTCTCACGCAACTGCCTGGCCAGCCAGAACACTGTGCCCCAGGGCTGGAATCAAAACCTGCAGCACTGAGGGCAGGTCTACACTTCAAACGCTGCGTCGGCACAGCTGCGCCGCTGTAGCGCTTACGTGAAGACGCTCCTACACCGACAGGAGAGTTTCTCCCAGTGGCGTAGTTAATCCACCTCCCTGAGAGGCGGCGGCTATGTTGGCGGGAGAAGCTCTCCCATCGATATCGCGCTGTCTACACGAGGGGGTAGGTCAGTAGAAGTGCATCACTCAGGGGGGTGGATTTTTCACATCCCTGAGCGATGTAGTGATACCGATACAGGTCTGTAGAGTAGATATGGCCTGAGTCTGGGTCCTTCTCTTGGCCTGGCCCTGTCGGGACGTCGCTGAGAATCAGGAAGACGAAGGCCTAACGGTGTCATGGTGGGTCCTGGGTCCCAGGAGCTGGTGGGGGTGGCGGCCGTGATGTGGAATCTCGCTCCATTCCTGTTCTCCGGTCTCTCAGCCAGCGGTTGTTGGCAGCCAGTTTCATCCTCTTGATTCTCCCCCCCACACTCCTCCCAAAAGTGTTAGGTTTTTTTGAGGACCCCAGAAGGATGCAATGGGTCAACAGCCCTTCCCCTCGTGAATTTGTTCACCAATTAGACCTAATTTCCGACACACCAATTTTGGTCCATTGATTTTCGGTCCAACCCTTCTCTTGGTTACGGGGCATGGCGTTAACACAGTCCCTGAGCTATATCAACAGGCCTTTTTGTTTGGACTCCTTTCCTCTCTGTGGCTTCCCTTTGCACCTTTCCCCATCAACATTTATTACCGTAGGTGTGGTGCTGTTGTAGGAACGTTC